AGTGCGGTTGGATTGTGGATCACCAAGCACACCAGCTTGTGTGCGCACCGTACAGGCGACCAAATACTTCAGAACACATCAAAGGTGAGAGCGAGCATGAGAGACAGAAGAAGAGCAGCAGCAGCTGCACCAGCCCCGAGAAAAGGCCGCGCAAGGTGCGGGGCCTACCCCCGGTGCTGATTGGTCCAAGGAGGGTGTGCACTAGCTTGCAAGGATGCCATCTCATGTTGAGGATATTGCAAAATCTTAATGCGGCTGCTCTGTCAGCAGGTAGACTAGTCTTTTATTGCTCCCTGGGTGGCAGTCAGCAACTGGATCGGCAACCAAACACTGCTGTTCAACGTGGCGGCTTTGCAGCACCTCGCAATCAATAGTCTATGCCCCCGCGCAAAAGAACGAGGGTAGGCTAGTTACCTGGCCAAAGCCGCACCACAGGTAGACAAGACAGCTCATGCCCCCCACTCGGACGGGCACATCCCCACATCCATTTTCATGCGAAGGAACGGACGAAAAAAAGAAAGTCCGAAACAAAAATCTTCGGAAAAGAAACAGCAGTGGAACAACATGTTGGGACCAGCAACCACGGGGGATCCACGCGTCCTCAACCCCCCCAGCCGGCTTGCGTTCGCCGTGCGCACAGCAGCCCCGCTGTAGAATGGGTCTCCGCCTGCGGGCACAGACGACCCGACTTTATTTTCCGAGTCAGAAGGATCAAATCAACCCGTAGATTTTACAACACGTTGACACAAGGCGTTGCTTGCCATCGGTCGTCATCATGTGGTCGCAGCGGCGGCGCCCAGCAGCGGGACGCCATGTGGGCGCGGGCTCTGCTGCTGCACGCGGCCCTTCTTCTTTTCCTCGTGACAGGAGCATGGGGGAAGAAGGCGGACACACCCCAGCAGGGAGGGTGTTGCGCGGCGCTCTTGTTGGAGGGTTCCGAAGGGTCCAAGGGGCACGACGGGAAGTACCAGCTACCCGTTGCGTGGTGAGTGTTGAGCTTGCTCCAAGTCATTCATTCGTGAAATGAACGGACGGGTCAACCAATTATTTTTTCGTGTGCATTGCAAGCATTCCCTTGTTGATAGAATAAAGCAGGACAAACGTACACAGCATCAGCAGCAGCAGCAGTACTTCCTTCATAGTGGGATTGTCAGCACCAACGTTGTCCGTTGCGAAATGCCCTCTGCTTGTTGTGTCCTGCGGGTGTCCCGTCCATGTGTCACGTCTACAGCCGTGACCTGGTCGGATGCCCAAGCCTTGGGTTCAATCCCCAAGCGTCAGAGAACCGCTTTGACCTCAGCCCGGCGAGCGAGGCCCTCCGCCAGCAGTCCGCCCTGCGCGAGGACCCGTCGTGCCCGCGCGCCGAGTGGGAGGGCAGGTGCCCACCGTCGTCGACTATGCTCCTGGCGAGCAGGATGGGGGGATCCTGCATCGCTGCGGGATGTGTCTACCGCGAGACCCAGTCGACGGTGAGAGCGGCGTCTCAACGTACCTAC